AACATGAAAATGTTATTTCATCATGTGCTTCCATTCATGCAGCACTGAGGAAAAAATCAGTGAAACACATTACACTTGTTGACAAGTCTGTACCACTGCCAATGTAAGAGTTATCCTCTAGAAGTCTTGCAGAAAATAATTCATAAGTCAGCTCCATGACACTGCCAACTATTAGTTATCTTGTAGATGGTGTATCTATCATAACACTCACAAATCATAACCTCAACACAATTTAATATAGCCTTTTAAGCACACATGTATACTTTGCACGGCAAAAGAGGGTGCCCTCTGCATATAAAAATGTATCACGTGCACAACATGTTAAGCTTTCTCTCTTGGGGGAGGGGGAAAATGGAGTACTGACCACAAAGTTTGGTCCCATGGACACCTTTTGGCACTCTGTCAGTTCCGACAGGCAGTGTTGCACATAAGTATGGCTGTCATCAGTGATGTCTCTCATACCCCAGTGTGGGTCACTCACTTGGAACTCATAGCCCCTCTCCTTGCAGTAGGTGCGCAGACGAGGATAGACTTTGGATACCAGAGTTGTTCGCTCTGCCTCAAAGTCTAAAAGAGAGACAAAATGGTTACTACATTAGCACGCATTTTTACGTTATTATAATTACTGTTATTGTTGTACAACACACGTGTACAACAATGCAGAATTAACATTTTACACGACACAAATTTACTACTGACTCCTGTCGACCATTTCATTCCAATCCTGCAGGATCAATATATACAGATTCACTACCTACCTATTGCATTAACATGTAGTCTTTGGTCAAAGTGATTGGTCAGATCACTACACTTTAAATAAGCCCTTGTAAGGCACGCATATTGCTTGAAAAAAAGAATAGCAGGGAATACAATTCCCCACCACCAAGCAGAAGTACCTTTACCAACTCATTTTTCAGGGCTCATGCCTAAACACCAAATTAGTTCAGGCTACACTACCAGTGTAGCGTCAACACTACACTGGTTTAGGCAGGCAGCACCGTGCCGATACACGTAGGGGGGCATGCACCGGCATGCACGTGGCTCAACACTAGCATAAGGTGGCACAATGCTGGCAGGCAGGTGGCACCACACTGGCATCCAGGTGGAATGCAATCTTTAAATATCTCTTCAACTGTAAACAAGACTATAAATAAGAAACTTTAGTCAAAGACTTTTGCTGCTATCATCTTTACTGAAGGCTACTCAACATATGCCATGATATGTCTTGAATATGCCATTTGGTATCTTCACAGTGAAGGACTTTAGAAGAGTCACAAAGGTCTATAAGAATGCCACTTTGAACGATTAGCACAGCCAAGACATAAAGAACGAACTGAGAAAAAACTATCATATAATGATGCAAACCTGAAAAAGTTGAAGAGATGAAAATCCGGATGATTTTCTTTTCCACCGGATACTGCTGATCAAAGTATCCTTTCATCACACAGTTGATGTTTTTATCCTTTCCACAGTCAGCAAGCTCAAGATTCTTCAGAAGAGGATACTGACTTGGAACAGGGCTAACTTCATTCCGAGATAGAATACAGCTGTCTGTATCATCTAAGGGTGATAGCGGTTGTTCTGCCACACCACGGCCTGATGCAACCTGAGAGTCATCCCCACTCGATGGGTTATCCATTTTCAACTCACAATTGTCATCAGTTCTAGATGTGATACTTTCAGTAACTTTGGATTCCTTGCCGATTGCTGGTAGTCGGATGTTCTCATCAACTGACATGGAAGACTGAGGTCTAACGCTGTGACCACTGGGCATTTGCTCGATCTTAGGCAAGTGTGACTTCACCTGTCCACCATCATGCCAACTTTCATGGCTCTCGCCACTACCATTGGATCTCAATGACTTGATACTTAATGCAGGGGAACCACTCCTAAAACCCTTCTGAGAAGCATCTACAGGTTTGGATGCTGACTGCTTTGCAGCTTCAGTTTTTACAGCAGTGGCTTCCCCGGAGGTTGTTGCTTCATGTAGGTCATTTGCTGATTTGGTGTCGTTGAGCAGCGGCATTTTGCCACTAGAAAGGTCCAAAGCCCAAAGGTCATTTCCTTTAAGCTCGGTAGCCTTGTCGCCCTCGACAATGACTTGAGGTAGGATGGGATGTGCACTGGATTGCCTTGATGATGACTGGTCAATTACTTCACTTGCAATATTCTCCAACCTTTGACCTTCAGCACTGATCAGGCTTCCTCGGCTTATTCGTCCACCATAATCAGTGTACCTGGAAAACAAGTTGCGTCTCCCAACATTCTGTGTTGAAAACAGAGAATTTGCAAAATTACATTTTGCCAGCCCTACCCTTGTTAAGTCTGTACAGCATCACATAGAAAAAAAAGTTTTTGCTGTCTCCTTATATCACAAGAAAGTAATCAACTGCAGGTAAAGGAGGCCATGTTAAATAGCACAACACTTGTATATATGTAACATGAACATATTGGCTTACCATCAGCAATTAAGGCATTACTACATGTATACTGTAATTTAATGGACAGTCCAATCACTGACTCTTCCAAATAGCCACGTGACCACAGAAAGTGATGTCATCGGAAAACCCAAGTTAAACATGCCCGGAATTCTGTGGCAAGTCATGCCAGACATGATTAATGAAAAGACGAAGGTTACATACACTGAGCATTTGATTTTTGTTGACTGGTAAAAAGAAACCTTTAGGTAACAATAGTTTAAAATCTCAGTAAAATGATTATTTGTGTGCAAAAAATGAGATTGAATGTTCATGAAAACAATCACTGAAATGTTGCCACAGCAGAGCTAGTAAAGTTTGTTATGATTGCGTACACATTTCATGTATGAATGGAGGTAGGAAAAGATGTGTTTGGTGACTCCATTCCTCGGGGAATTCCGTTTATGTTTCCAAAATCTGGATAACTCGAATTTGTTATTTATTCTCTAAGTTGAGTTATCAGATGTAAATGGCAACCAACGAAAATATGACTGCGCCACTAGCATGTGGTACTCGTGGCCCAAGAGCAGCTTTTGTGACTGATTTTATACTTCAAAGGTTGCTGTAAAAGCCGCCCAGTAACCCGCAGAGACATTTTTCAGCGTGAGAATCAACATATAAGCCACAGCTTATATTCTGAAAATTATGGTACTACACCGTAGAACATGCCTCAGATTTCTGCAAACACCTTGTATCATTTAGTGTTATTGATTATTTACCACATTGCTGGGTATATGAAGTGTAGCATCATCACCCATAGATTCCTCATCACTGACAAGTAAATCATCTGATCCTGCTCCTTGGAGGAGACGTTGTCGCAACTGTCTCTACACAAAATGAAAAAAACAAAAAACAAAAAAATTTGAAGCTTGTGACCTCTTATTAATTCTGACAGTCAACAATAACTCCATGTACCGGTACTGTACTCTCCTTCAGCCTTTGGCAAACCTCACTTAAGATCTGTATTATAAAGCTTACATGTACTACTGTTATCCTCAAAGTTTCTGAATTGTTTGAAACCCCACTGAAAACCATATACATCTATGGTCCTTTTAACTGTTTCCAGCCTACTCATTTGGTACATGTATGCATTAACTCTTACAACATAGGCATAAAAGCAATCTTCTTAATCACACTGAATCTTGTTTTAAATATTTTAACCTCCTGTTTTCAACCCAAAATCAGCTCACTCAAAGATTTTTTTACCATGTAGCATTTTCTGACAGTAACTTAATCATGAATCCTAATTCTTAATAAACTAGAACTCCACATTAACTCTTAACATTTAAGAACTGCCATTCCAAGTGGTAGTCCTAATTGCCAGTTCTTAGATGCATTACTCATTGCATTTCCTTGTATGTTACACGTACACACAAATGCAAACACACATTGCACTGTGCACAGTTTGTATTGTGTTTTGTTTCGGCCTACAAGTTATGTAAATGACCTTCAAAGCCCATATCAGTACTTCAGTTGCATTGTTGTTCAGTATAAATGTAAGCTTCTTAGTGTAAAAGTTAACAGGATGATTTTTCTAAGATATAACTCGTTCATCGTCATAGTTTCTGAGAATCAAACCAAGATGCATGACTAAGATTTTCCTTTCTCAAGTTTCCTTACTGCAACTGCACCCTGTTTCTTATTGCATACATGTATACGCCTTGCCTCAGGGATTGTTTGTCTGAATAGAAAAGAATAACAAACAGATCGAGAGAGAGGGAGAGCTTTTGATAGTTCAATCCTATTGACTATTCTAGTCTAATCAAGTTATTCCTCAGAAGAGGAGAAGTAGCAGTCATAGTATCTCTCAACAAGTACCCCAGTTCACTTGTAGTTCTATCACAACCTTCGGAAGATTTGTGTTTTGACTGCCTTCACCACAACAAATAGGCAACGTGCCTTAGTAAATTTGAGACGCGCTCATTTATACCTGAAACCAGACAACATGTAGGATCTTATTTATAAATACCTTAGACAGTTTCAATATTCAACAATACACAACGTGACGGTCTACAACATTTGAAAATGCCCCCTGCAATTTGATAATGCCCGCTGCGTGAGACTATGCTGGCACCTTGATATGAGACAGTTTAATCCATCCTTAGGCCCCCCCAAAAAAGTCTCTGGTTTCTGGTCCTCACGAGTGTTGCCGTAGACCTGCGCGTCAGCAAAATAAAGAATTGTTTTATTTTGCATAAAACAATTTCCAAAAGCTGCCAAACTTACTTGATTGGCAGGAATTCTGCTACCGCGTAATGTTAACATATTTTTGATGGGTGAGATTGAATAATATGTATGGCAAAGGAATCCCCCCAGGCTTCCACGCATTTCAGTCGGGCACTCTGATCAGATGACGTCATTCGTCTATCTTTACAGGAACGCCGTGTCTGAATCAGTTGGCTACGGCTTGATATCATGTATGATTCTATGGAAACTAGCCGTGGATGCTGCCAAACTAATACTTGGTGTAATTTCCGACCATAGCCAATTGATTTGGACCCGGGCCCAAGTACGTCTGTGAACCAGATGAACGAAGCGGTCTTGCGTCCTGTGTAAGTATACAAACTGAAAACGCTTTTGAGCAACAAACCGTGAAGGGCCAGTCTATTTCAGTGTCGGCGAGGCAGCGGCTGTGCATATATGCATGGAGTTGCGATGGACATGCATTACGTTATGACAACCATACATGTAACAACTCATGCATCGTTGATCATCACTTGCCAAGAGCAAAGGTAGATTTGAGTGAGAGGAGATTTTATTTTCTGAGCTGAATTTTGTCCCCATTATGTTAAATGCAGCTTTTTTCTTGGAAGTGAAAGCAGAAGACAATGTGAACGGTAATTACCTCATGGGAATTTTATTTTCATTTTGACTCTATAGAGCTGAACTGTTTTCATTTATTTTTTTCATAGGCTATTTGCCGTGCAACTTGTTTCCTCTAGGCTAAAGCAGAATACAATGTGCAAAGAATGTCATACTGAAAGCTCATGAGAATTTCATTTAAAACCAGAAACTGGAGCTGAACATTTATTATTCACATACATGTATGATTCTCCATGGTTGTGCTACTGTATTTTAACAAGCTCAATCTTGCCAAGAATTGAAGCCTCTTTTTTGAGTGAGATGACTGAAACCATTTCCTCTTGTCATATTTTATGGTCTTTTTATTAATTCAAAGTTGTCAATTCACACTTCTCATAGTAACAAAGCAATGTGCTCTAAAGTAATGTACATGTACATCACTTCTAAGAAAAAGAAAGAGGGGAAAAAAAAACACATCACCACACCACTTGTGGACCAAGCCCATGGCCAGAAACCGGAGTTTTTTTTGCCTTATTGGTCCAGTGTCTGCGTGCAATGCAGCACGCAGAACATGCCATGCACGCCAAATCCATATAGAGATTCTTCCCAATAACTTGCACAAGGAATATACCATAAAATGGATGAGGGGTGTTTGGGAAAATGACAGTAAAATTCTTAAACAAATTTGTTAGAAACCTGTCACAAATTGACTTCTTTTGACTCTCTGACTAACAAACGGTATTTATGAACGGTAAATATGTGCTCAGTTAGTCTTAAACTAACGCTTAAGACCGGCTCAGGAGAATGGACACTGATAATGCCCTCGCCTGCCCCTCGGGCATTAGTCACATCCATTCTCTTGAGGACATTTAAGACCAGCCAAGCACATACAGTGTATCTATTCCCTCATTTAAGTTTACTGCTTACACTTATTCACAATATTTGTATCATAAACTTCTCAACTGGCTGAGACAATTTTTTTATGTACATATACGTCTTCAAGACTAAGTAAAAAAAATTTTAAAGTCTCGATTTGATGAAAAAAGTGAGGTTAAGGCTTTCAGTTTTTTAATTTAAAATGGCTGTCATTTTTTTTGACATTTAAACAACCACTAGTGTTTCAACAATCTGAAGACAGACATGTAGCAGACAACAGAATTAAACAAATTTACAGTCGTCTTGATTGTTTAGTTAATAGTAGGTTTGCAATAAGATTTTAGGTTTGCAATAAGATTTTAGAAGAATGCAAATGCACACCTTACTGTTAGTCACTGGAATCCATACTAACCCTGAGGTATGACACAATGACTTTGCTATTGCTTGCACTGATCCGCCTCTCACTATCTCGCAAGTGCCCATGGTCTCCAAACTGGCCAGGAGAGAAAGAAGCAGACATGAACTTCGGCCGTCCATTGGGTCCAAACCGCACATCATGTGCCATTGGCTGTAGTGAGGATTTTTTCAGTCCCTACAAAACATAGAAAAGAATGAAACTGATCAGGACCTTTATAAAATTATAATTAACATGATTACAGAAACCACAAGCTCACGAATTTATTTAAAATTCCAAACTCTCTCATTTCTGGTAAGTCTTATTCACTTTTTTCAAGAATTTTATATTTTCATCCACTTCCATGTAATTTTCCAGTAGGAAATTGGTGAAATATACATACATATCACTTATCTTAACTACAAAAGATACATCTCATTCCATTCAGTATTTTTGTTACCAAGGACAGAGACACAAGAAATGACCTAAAGTTGGCCAATTCAACAACACTTTGTCAAAAGATACAAGAGCCAAAATAAGGCTGAAAACACGAAAACTCTCAGGACACATGGATCCAAAACATATCAACAGCATGCAGCCATTTAATGTATCTATTCGAATCCGCCTCTTATTTTGCGCGATAGCATAACAAAAAACACGATCTCTGAAATTTAGAGTTGGCCTACGATATTCGTATATGAGTAGTTTTTTCTTTGCCCAGCTGCAAAAATGGATTTAGTTTCTGCAACACCGTACAGCACCTGCTGTCCGGAAAACATTGACCCTTGCTCTAACGTTATTGATTCCTACACCGACCCAGTTTTATCACCAAGTTCATTGTCACGACCAACTAGACTCCACACAACAATCGGGGATGAAGAATACTTCCCCCAACTGTCGGCTCACGATCAAATTTCTCACTTTGTGAAATATCCCTGGCCGGCCCTGGCCCTCGATGCTTTGGCAAGACTGCAAGAGCAACTTATCAGCGCAGCTGAGCATATTGCCTTTAATACATCGCCAAGGACGCCGCGCGAACGCGCACCTAGTACTAGTAACAGCCTGGCCGGTGATTCAGCGCTCGTGTCAATGGTGGCGCTCTCTTAACTTAGAAAACTTGTACATAATTATAGTAAACGAGCGCTTCGAATCGTTAGTATTTTACACTGCCTTAAAAGTAAGGGTCAGGCAGCAAGCTTCCCGAACCTTCGTGCATTTTACATTGGCCGGCCGTCCTATCACATCCGTACGGAAGCGTTTAAAGGCCACTTGCAAAAGGTTTTTTTTCGAGTTACTATCTCGCCTCGGGGAGTTAGTCATTTACTATCTCGCCGCGGAGAGTTACTATCTCGCCGCGGGAGTTGAAGATCTTGCCGCAGCGTCAAATTGATATCCCGTCGCAGCGAATATTTCAATAATTCCATAAGTCCTTTTCAACGTGCCGTTTTCAAATGTGTCTTTAGGGTGAAATGCAGTAAGATTTGATTTTAGATGCTAATTGGAACAAAATGGGAGGTTACATTCATCCTAGCTTGATTTACAACACAAAAGAAAACAAAAGAAATCTCTTTTGAGGGTATGAATTTCCATAGCCGCAAGTGGGGTAGACTACATCGAGTCCCTGGTAGACAGGCCTGTTGAAAAGATTACGGTGACTTTTCATTTATAGTTTAAATAATCCTATTTACAAACGCGCCACGATGGGGGACCCTGAAAGGAAAAGAACATAATTACTTGCTCGAACCTCTTTCAGCAGTTTATGTCATTGTTTTAACTAGATGGTTGCCTCCCCCCCAAAAAAAAATTCTGGTGCCGCCCCTGCATATTTTTTAGCCAATATGTAGTTGCCATTTTGGATCAAACTAACACACACTTTTTCATCATTCATAACTGGATTGAAATCCCCAGGCTCTTTGACTTCACAATCCATGCTTTCACTTGTCACGAACCATCAACACAGCGCAGGGCGCTGGAAAGGGCAAATACGTAAAAAAAAATTGTCGAAAACTTATTGCATGGAGTCTAATGTTTAATTAACATCTCAACACGGGTCGACTCTTCCAGTTCGGTGCGCATGACACGTATGCATTTAATTACACTACATCTGGTGTGGGCGTCCTGAGCTGTGAGGTAAAAGTACTGTTTTAATCTCCCATTTTAAGTACTATCAACTAATGAATTTCGACCGATGAAAGTTCACTGAATAATAACTTAACTTTCAAGTCTGCTTGCTTATGTTTGGTACTAGGAAAATGTAGGAAGAAATTAAGAACATTTTACCCCTCATCAGAATGTGGATATTCACACCACAAAATAAGATTTCGTTGTCTTTGTGTTAGAAAACAAGCTTTGTTGAAATGTAACATCCATTTTTGTTTCAATTAGCAATCTAAAACCGAATCTCAATGCATTTCACCCTAAAGATACATTTGAAAACAGAGCGCTGAATAGGACACAGGTTCTATCATCCGTGTCAATGATGCAGTCATGGTCATCCAACGTACACCAACAGTATATTAAAAATTAACAGGAAATTTTTTCACTCATAGGCATACATTTGGTAGGAGAATTCATAGAAACAAAGAAAAAATGGCCTGTACATGAACAAGTCGGACCTTACCATTTTCACAAACCTACCGCCGAGTACAAGCCGGACGTCAGCCGAGAAAGGTGTGGTAATTGCCACGCACACTTTTGAAAAATACGTTTATTTTAATATGAAAAGCTTACCCAACTAACTCAGATATTATTATTTGATTTCTCTTGTCAGTTTCTCCACTCTACTTCGAGGCCAGAAAACGGGTACTCTTTGTAGGCTTGTGAAAAAAAAAATAAAAAGGGATGACCCATAATTTCATGATCAACATAAAATAAAGAAGAACACGATTTTCCAAATTACGGAAAACCGTCGAGACCTTCAAGTTCAAAAATTTCTTCAAGTATTCATAATTTCCCTCGTATACTGTAGCGAAGTAGAGCCCTCGGTAGCACTTATATGATGGTGACGTGACAGAGATTTCCAGGCGCCAATGATTCACTTGAACTTTGCTTTTTCACCCATCCAATGATTCCTCCATACCTACCATCTTCATCAAACCAGTCCATCGCAGGACACAATTAGCTCGAACAGAATTCGTGTCTAAAACTTTGTTATTGTGGAATACTCAACACAATTATAATTTGAGACAATTAGAGTGGCCACTGATGATCAGAGATAACTTACCGTTGAGTTATTGGTGTGTACAACGCTCAGCCATCAGCATGAATATTGGCTATAAGGTCATGCAGTACACCTCTAAACGGTCTTCCATTAGTTTGTTCGAGGATAGTTACGACTGTCAGGCAAACTACACATTTGTCATGAACGTGTCACCTTAATGAGAATCTGAAGTCGTGTATGTGTTTTATCCAACAACTGGTTAGTTTTATAAGAGTGCAGTACATGCCACGCGAAGTATAGTCTCCGATAACAATTTATACACACTGAGCCCGCTCATTCGACCACAAAGACCCAACGAGTGGAATGCACAAAATGTATAAGCCTCGATACAAAGGTCGATTGGAGACCGAGGGTTACCGCGAGGCCTTGACTCGCACAGCAGAATTGAAGTCAAGTGTTTACAACTCGTAACTAAGGAAACCACGGGTCGCGGTTGATTGACGAGCTTCGAAATATGACGCATGTACTGTCCCAACTCGACGAATTGGGGGTTATATACTTTTGGTTTCATACAATAGAGATGATGGTTACTGGATAACCTTGCAAAGACGTTTAGCGATGTCAGTTATCTTCTTGAGGACTACAACTTTACAAGTCACTAGATCGTAAAAGCTTCTACATTCGAGCGTATGAACATCTGAAAAGTAGAAGTTACATGAACTCAGCTCAATATGAGGCGGTAATTTTTGCTGACTATAATTTATATTGTTTTCATCTGCATTAAATATAGGTAAAAAATCAAATGAAAAACAATTCCACTGTATACCATCCCACAACTCCAATGCAAAGTTGCTATTAGTATTACTACAAATAGTAAAAATATAAGAAAACTTTTCTCCTTTTTTGGACTTCGTATTCTGGGACTCTTCATTGGCCTACTGATTTATTTACTATGCCATTGTTAATTTCAAAATAAATTGTATAAAGTCTAACCTGATAATGTATAGCCTATTGACTGAATCAAAGTCTGACATTTCGACATGCGTGCGTTCCCTCAACAAGAACCATCGCAATTCTATCCTGTTTAGTAATTGAGTTGTTAAAAGCTCTACCCACAACCAAGCCGACTCTACAAAATAACTGACGCATGAATGAACAACAATCGGTGCCGAGATTTGGTTGCTAGGCACGGCTGAGCGGATAATTGTCACGGGCCGACACTTGATCGTTTACTCGTTTACGACTGGCATCTGACGCAAGGACACAACTTTTAAATTAATTTGTTTCTTTAACCCTAACAGACCTCAATCCTCCGGTTTCAATATAATTTTACATAAACCCAAAAGGGTAGAGTTTAAGTAATGGAGATTTTATTATTAATTTTGAAAGTAAAATTTGTGGTAAAATATATTTTTGACATGCTATCAGGCAAACTTTTAATGTACAGCTCGCGGCATGTGACATTTTAGACAAGCTTTGTGTTAATTCCATCACTGCTTTCTTTTTTTCAAAACAACATCGTATGGGTGCGTATTTATGTTTTGGATGCAAAACTGACAACAGTACGGGTTGAAGAAAATTATAACATTTTGAAACAAAATGAAAATCGTCATTGTGAAAAGAAAAGTGTTGTCCGGAAAGTGGTCAAGAAATTAGGCGAGGGGTCGATCCGTGACTCGTGCATGTGGTGCATTTTGACAAACGTCAAAAATTCCCAAGGCATTGTGTCTTTCTTTGAGTTAAAGGATGCAGTGGTTTTCTTCCTGCGCTGTCTCGACTCTTTGGTGTGGTATAAAGTTACCATTCATATGAAAACTGGAAATAATAAATTGTTGTTGAAATTAGAGTCACAGCTTTTGAAATCGGCTGAACTCAATGAACAAGAACGTGTAATGTGGAACTCACAAATCCGGAATTTGTAAGGGAAATGTGAAGAAACAAGAATTGGGGTTATTCTGTAGGAGTTCAGCAGTAGCCAGAAACAACTCAGTTATTAGGCATACCATGACTTCGGTCGTGTCCGACCGGTTTTAACCAC